ACATTTTAGTCAGCCAGTCCTCAATTTATAGGATCCAATTTGTTTCCTTTCTTTTTTTGCTGCCATAAAATTATTTTATTTCTTGTTTGAATTAGTCATTTAATATTTTACTTTCCCCAATTGCATGTAAAAATAATTTTTAACATTTGTTTCCTAAAACTTTGAGCTCCAAATTATCTCCTTCCCCTTCATCCCCCCTCCCTGCATTGAGAAGGCAAGTGATTTGACAGAGGTTACACATGTGTGGTCATACAAAATATATTTCCATATTAGTCATGTTGTGAAAGAAAACACAGAGTGAAAAAAGAAAAATAAAGAAATTTTTAAAAGTATATTTCAGTCTGCACTCAGAATGCATCAGTTCTGCCTCTGGAAGTAGATAATATTTTTCATCACAGGTTCTTTAGAATTGCCTTGGATCATTGTCTTGATCAGAGCAACTCAGTTTTTCACAGTTGATCATTAATACAATATTACTACTACTGTCTTCACTCATCTCCTGTTTTTTTCTCACTTCACTTTACATCAGTTCATGTAAGTCTTTCTAGGTTTTTCTGAGAGCATCCTGCTCACTGTTTCTTAAAGTATAATAGTATTCCATCACATTCATATACCACAATTTGTTTAGTCATTCCCCAATAGATGGACATTCCCTCAATTTCAAATTCTTTGCCACCACAAAAAGAGCTTCTATAAATATTTTTGTACATATAGTTCTTCTTTTTGTTTGCTTGCTTTTTATCTCTTTAGGATATAGACCTAGTAGTGGTATTACTGGGTCAAAGATTATGCATGGTTTTATAAACCTTTGAGCACAGTCCCAAATTGCTCTCCAGAATGGTTGAATCAGTTCACAACTCTGACAACAGTGTATTAGTCTCTCGATTTCATGAAAAGTATTATTATGAATATTTTTTCTACATTTGGGACCTTTGTTTTGCACTTGTACTCAAAACATGACTCTCCTTGGTTGCCATCACTAAGCACTTTCTTGTCACATAAACTTTCAGGCTGTTTTGGCTTCCATACTCTAATGATTACTTGGCAACAGTTAAACTTCTCCAGGAAGTGGTCATAGTAAAAGTCAATGCCGTTACTTTAATCCAATTCCTCTTTTTTCAGTGTTGAAAATTTTTTTAAAATGAGATGAGTTAATCTCCTAGTTGTTAATCTGATAACAATAGAGAGGTCTGTTGTTTTCCCAAGATACATATCTAAGATATTTTAACAGAGAACTACCCAAGACTTATCAAAATAACTGATAACTACATACTTGTGGTAATTCCCTTAGGCACAAATGACACTGCCAGAAGGAATGTAAAAAGTAATGCAAAAATTACAAAGTCTTGGACAAGCAGCTGAAAACCATGGCATACACAGACTATATTTTCCTCACTGCTACCCATGGAAGACAAGTGGCATGGAAGAGAAACATTAATTTGGGAAGAGAACAGCTGGCTAAGAAGGTGGTTATATGAGCCTGGGATCTGGATTTCTGGACCACCACTTAAAACACAGATGTGACAGATTTCTGGCCAGAGATTGAGTATAATACCTAGCAAAGGTTGGTAAGAATGTATTTGCTGACTATTTTGCCAAAATAATCAAAAGGAATTTAAGGGTTAAAAAAAAGGAGGGGGAAGGAGAAGACTGTATAACTGCTGAGCTGGATACTACAGAAAATTGACTACAAAGAAGGAAAAAGAAGGTGAGATACACAGAAATTCAAGGGAGACAAAATCCAATAAAGGAACTGGTTACTGTAATATGTATTTTGTCTATTCACTAGCTATTAGACAAACCTTGTACATTATGAATACAGTAAGGATAGTTAACATTTGCATATAGTCTAAGATGTATGTGCTTCTTAGTATCCTCTGATTCCTTATCTTCCATTCTGCCTGAAAACCAGTCAATACCAAGTACAATTTCATGCCTTTTGTTGAGGGTTGTTTGTTTGTTTGTTTGTTTTTTTTCATTTTATGGATTGTTGTGGAGGAAAAAAATATATGATCACCTAGTGGTCAACTTTTTGGTGATGAGCCTCTTTGCTAGTTCTCAGACAACAGACATAGACCACAGATACATAGTCTACTATTATACCCAAATTTATGAATTTTCCAGATTTATATGGGCAGCTTCAAGACTCTACATGGAGTCCAGTATAGAAGCTACACCATGCTAATGGGGTTATTGGACCTGTGCCCCTAAAGGAAAAAGACCATGTCTTTGAAAGCAACCCAGCCCCTAAACTTGCTTCACCTGAGGCATCTGGTGCATCCTTTTCACTGCTCTTTCACTGTTGATCTCTCCTTTAATTATCTGCACCTGGACCACTCCACTCCTTAATCCCACCCAGATCTTCTCACTGTCTTGTGTATAAGTATCATCCCTACCAAACTCAGATTCTTAGAATCTTACCCATTCCTATTGGCATTACAATACCATATATTTACTAGGAATCTTGCCCACCTAACTGGTGTTATAATAAAACCTCTTTACTCTGACTGGAAGAAGGCTTGAGTGGTCAAATTCTTTCAAGGCAGACCTCCATGTACCCTTGCATTTTGGGGTTCCCAGCACCCTAAACTACAACAATGCCTAAGGGGAAATTTTAAGAGAATGCCAGGAAGTATAGAAAAAAACATTTCCAGCAACCAGGAGTTGTGAGGGCAATTAGGGACTCTCTAAACTTGAGCTCACTTTCTCTTGGAAGCCATAAGTTTTGGTGTATGCATCACAGATTTTTGGGGAGGATGTTTTCTACCAAATGTTCTTACTAAGTCACCTTAGTAAATACTGCTTTCTAAAAGTTAATTAAGTTTGTCTTTCTAATTAGTATCAACTGATAATCATTGGTAGAAGCACACTCATGGGACCTACTGAGCTCTAGAGCACTAGAAAAACATCTTCAGGTACCTTAGAACCCAGGGGAAAAACATAGTAGTCATGCACTGAGGACCCAACCTGCCAGTGCAAGTGGGGTTTAGGGTAGTAACTTCAGACCATATACTACTTTACTAATAAGCAGCAGAGCTGGAATTTGAATCCTGGTCCTCTAACCTCAGATCAACACTGCCTCTAGGTTCTTCCTTCTTGGACTAAAAACAAGTCTAATCCCTCTTCCAAATAAAGGTTTTTTCAAAGACACTTCTCATGTCCCCTCACCCCACCCCCATCTTCTCTTCTTCAGTCTAAAAGTCCCCATTTCCTTCAAATGATTCTAATATTCAAGAACTTTTACCATCCTAGATGCCCTCTTCTGGGCCTTCTGCTTATTGATGTCCTTCTTAGAATGTAGCTCCTATCACTTCAGTCTGAGATAGACATCAGACCATTTGAAGGTTGGGGGAATCTCTAGGAATCAAAATTTACTATCCTATTCTCAGTAAAAAGCTAAGGAAACTTTTTTGGGGGTTTGGACATTATGCACTGGATTAAACATAACTGTGTGGACCAAAGCTATGTTTATCATATATGAATTGACTTAGATATTTGTATTGAAGAAACCCAATAATTCCTACCTTTCCAATCTTTTCCCACTTTACTCTCCTCCATTTATTCCACAACCCATTGACAATGGTCTTCTTTCTGTTCTTCATACAAGAAATTCCATCACTCTGTGCATTTTCTCCAGCTACTCTTCATGATTGAAATGCTCTTTTCCATATCAGGCTCTTGGCTTCCTTAGCCATCTTCATGAATCAACTGAAACCCCACCTTCTGCAGGATGCCTTTCCCAGTCCCACCTGAAGTTTCTACTGCCTACCCTCTGAGATTACCCTCCATTTACTCTGCAGGTATCTTGTTGTTCAGTCATTCAGTAATGTCCGACTCTTTGTGAACCCATAGCATGCCCAATACTGTTCATGAGGTTTTCTAGGCAAAGCACTAATGGTTTGCCATTTCCTTCTCCAGTGCATTAAGACAAACAGAGGTTAAGTGGCATAGCTAGTAAGTGTCTGTGGCCAGATTTGAACTCAGGTCTTCCTGACTCTAGCCCAGCACTCTATCTGTTGAACTATCTAGCTGCCTCATGTATCTTGTGCAGACACTTATTTGTAATTTGTCTCTCCTCATGGAATGTGAGGTCTTTGAGGGCAGAGACCATATGTTTTTCCTTTCTTTACATCTTCAGTGCTTAGCATAGTACTTTGCACATAGTCAATACTTAATAGATGTTAGTTCACTGACTGACCTCATTTGATTTTTTTCATTGAGTTATCCAGTCAACTAAATTGACTAGATCAAGCAGTTGATTTCATGTCATATAGATAGGGCCTAAGTTGGGACAAGATGTAAGTAACCTTTGCTAATTTAACCTTTTGTCATGAAGTTCCAAGCCCCACAAAAAATGAAGGCTCAAGAAGACTATCCTTAATCAGAATCCACAATATAGTAAAATTAAATTTTATTTGTCATCCAGGGATATACTAGAGCCAGCTGGTACCAACTCATAAGAGCTGATGGTTCAATTTTCAGGGTGAACATGTCCACCTCAGAAACTTTGAAATATTACAAATCAAGGCTTGATTTATTGTTTTGCTAATCTTCTGGACTTAAGAAAGTGATGGAGAAAATGGTAATAATGCAGATTAAGTTTAAAAGTATATTGTGGTATTTTTTGTTGTTGTTGTTTTGTTTTGCTTTGGAAAGCTGGCTGATAAACATTTCCCAGCACATTGCTGATACCGCACCTCCTATCAGAGAATATAAGTTTGTCAGACAACCAGAAAAGCAGATGGGGGTTTAAAATGAAAAGGGAGAGTCTCCATTGCTTGGGGATACCTCAGGACAATTATTTTTTACTTCTCTGTCAGTTGTAAGGGATGTACTTTCTAAGTATCAATTTGAACTGCATCTATTTGTATCATATTGTTCTTCCCTCTAAAAAGCTGAAAGTACAAAACTAAGACAATTAGCTTGCGTAAGAGTGATTATCTGCAGATTAGAAAACAATCCATTGGGTAAAAATGTGGAGGTTTGCAAAGCACACTTACCTTCTTCAAGAGTGGGTTTTACTGTGGAAGGTCCTTTCTTGTAATTTTTGCTTTACATTCTCAACTAAATTTTCACTGATGTGTTTATGATCATGCTCATCCTTTAACTTCCTTTCCAGATCATCTTTTATGAGCACAGTTTTTGCTGAGGCTAAACAAATGAATAAAACATATGGGTAAGGAAATAAAAGATCATCCACTTGGCAATATTTATAGCCACCTTAGTCTCCCCTCACCAGCAAGAAGTAAGTGGAAAATATTTGCACTTATTTTTAGAGGAAGCCCTGACTTTTGTAACTCTGGGTACTTTCCCCAGGCATCCTTCAGCACACCAGTTTATGTTAATCGTGTTACAAAAAAATAAAGTCACTACTAAGGTAGTCCTTTGTTGGTACACACAAGCCAGCTTACCCTCTATCAGGCAAACTTGGGGTGTCAGTATGATCAGTTGAACAGAGATGTGATCTTGGAGCTAGAAAAACCCAGGTTCAATTCTTGCCTTTGACACATACTGGCTTTGTGACCCTGGGAAAGTCATTTAAACTCAGTGAGTGTTATAGAGCAGTGTTGTCCAACACAAATGTAATAAATGGGGGCCACTAATCCGTACCTAAGAATTCATGCAAGCCACATATTAACTTAGCTTTAAAACATAAAATGTTAATGTAATATTATCTAGGTATTATTAATTTTTTTATTTTGTTAAATCTTTCCCAATTACATTTTAATCTGGCTCTGGCTATACTCCTGTAGGCCATATGTTTGATATCTCAACTAGAGACAACTCTCAAAGATTTTAAGTTTCAGAGATGATGCCAACCTGTATTAGTAGAAAGTTTCCTAATCTGGGGGTTCCTTACACCAATGAAATCACAGTCCCAATTTCCTTTCTTAACATCTCTTATTTCAGATGTCTACAAACACTTAATCTTTTTTATTATTATTGGTCTTCATTTGTTAGAATAAGAGTGGGATACCTGGAAGAAGTGAGAATTGAAATTGGTTAAGCATGATGGGTAAAAGAAGGCTCTGTCACTATGCAACCGTATAATCATCTAAAAGGAAATAGGAAAAGATAGCTTAAATGGCACTAATCAACGAATAGACTTGGGAGCATCAGATCTTCAGTGTGATAAATTTTGCTGTTGAAAATCTACCTTAGAAATCACTATAGTATTCAATAATGTGAATGCAAAGGGTACGAAACAGTAAAGAACACAAAGTGAAAAAACAATGTAATTCATAGTGCTATAGCATTTCTTGACACAGAGACAGCAAATAAATTAAAGATAATCAATTGGAAATGATTCAGGGGGAAAAATTAAAATGGGAAATCCTCAATAACTGGTAGCTTGGGTTGTCTTATCTTAAGCTTAGGCATCTCAAACTCAATTGATAATGTGAAAGAGTAGAGAAAGAAGAGGGAGGAAGGGAAGCATGCCAGTGGGGGATTGAGCCAATAGCAATAGAAAATCATATCTACCTGCACTGTGTATTTGCACCAGTCATTCCCCATGCCTAGAATGCTTTCTCCACACCTTCCCTTCCTGGTTTCCTTGGCTTCCTAGAATATTCAATTCACATCTCACATTCTACAAAAAAGTCTTACCTACCCTTCACCGCTGAAAACACAGCAATGCCTTCCTTTTGAGATGACTTTCCTTCCACTCTGTATATTTCTTGCATGTCCATATTTTATTGCATGTTATCTTTTCTAATATAATGTGAGCTCCTTGATGGTAGGGATCACATATTTTCCTTTCTATCCCCAGTACTTAGCACAATGTCTGGCACTTAATAAAAGCCTGTTGTCTGGCAGACTGATTGACTTAACTATACATTTACAGAAAAGTACATCCAATGCTCTGAATATCTTTTATTACAGGGCATTTATCAAACACTTATTTGCATTCTTTGTATGGAAAAAATGATCATTATTTAAAAAAAAACTAATTTTTTTTCAATTTTCTTATCAATACAAAAATAAGAAGTTGAAGCTTTTCTGAGATTTTCCACTTAAGAAGAATATGAAACTCCCTTTTGCAACAAATTTAGATTTACTTCCTTTTTTGGTTTTGGTTCAGTCATTTTTCAACTCTTCATGACCCACTTGGGATATTCTTGGCAAAGATACTGGAGTGGTTTGCCATTTCCTTCTCCAGCTCCTTTTGCAGATGAGGAAACTGAGGCAAAATGAGTTAATTGACTTGCCCATCGTCATAAGCTACTAAGTGTCCGAGGACAGATTTGAACTCAAAAGGATGAGTCTTCCTGACGCCAGCCTGACTATCTACTGTGCCACCTTCCTATAATGTCACTTTTTCCTCTAGCCTTTGTCATATAAGGCCTTAGCTACATAGATGAGAAAGCTGAGACCAGGTAACTTAAATGAGTTGTCCAAGGTCACATGAGTATTAAATATTAAAAGAGTGATTTGAAGTCAAGTCTTCTGACTTACTTTACTTGTCTCAGAAGCACTTCAAATTCAACATGTCCAAATCTGAAATCGTTATCTTTCTCTCCCAACTGACTCTTTCCCTGAGTTTCTTATTTCCGTCAATAGTATCACCATCCTCTCAATCACACTGGTTTTTGACATCTTTTATTCCCCCTCTTACTTCCCTATATCCACATTAGGTGTCCATCAAATCATTCTCTGCAACTTTTCTCATGCCCATTACTTCTCTTCTATTCTCACTGCCACCAATCTAATATGGGCCCTAAGTATTTCTCACCATAAGTATCCAATCAGTTGCCAAAACGTGTTTTTAGCTCCATAATATCTCTTGCATCTGTCTCTTTTCCTTCACTCACACTGCCACCCCCCTTCTTCAGGTCCTGATCACCTCTCAAATAAATTACTGCAATATTCTCCTAATTGATATCCTTGCTTCAAGTCTCCCCTTATTTCAATTAATCCCCCACACAAATGCCAAAATGATTTTTCCGAAGCACAGCACTGAACATTTTACCTCCCTACTCAATGAAACTTCCGAGAATGACCTGTTTCCCCTAGGATCAAGTATAAATTTATCTGTTCAGTTTTTAAAGCCCTTTGCAATATGATCCAACCTACCTTTTTAGCCTTATTACACATTTCTCCCCTTTACACACTCCACTATCCCACTAGAATGGCCTTGTTAGTGCTCGTCATTCCCAAGAATCAATCTCCCATCTCCATGCCTGTGCACTAGCTGTCTCCTATGCCTAGAATGCCCTCTCTCCCCACTTGCAGATTTTAGAATCCTTAGTTTCATTCAAAGCTTGACTAAAGGATCCCCTTCAACATGATGCCTTCCCTGAATGGCTTAATTATTAATGTCTCTACTCCCACCCCCAGAACTCTACCATATATTAATTTTATATATGCCTATAAATGCATATATCTGTATACCAATAAATGTTGTAACCCCACTCCCAATCAAAAGTAAACTCCTGAACAGCAAGGATTGCTTCACTGATGTCTTTGAGTACCCAAGACCTAACACAATGCCTTGCACTTAGTAAGCACTTAACAAATGCTCCTAGATTGGTTGATTGTTTCCAATGCCTGAAATAGCCTTGCTTTTCTTCTCCACCTCTTAAATTCCCTTGCTTCCATCAGGGCTCAGCTCAGTTTCTACTTCCTACTTGTGGAGACTTCTCTTGATTTCCACTGCTGTGACTATCCTCTCCAGACTCAAAGGACCTAATGTTTACTTATGAGAGTATATACTCATGCTCTCCTACCCCTGTGCCTGGTAAATAAGAGCTTTTTCAGGGCAGTAATTGTTTTCATTTTTCCTTCTTATCCTAATGCTAAGTACAATGATTTGCACATAGTAGGAGCTTAATAAATGTTTGTTGAATTGAACAAAGACAACAAATGACTGAAGGGAGATATGATGAGGCTGATGCCATCCCACTTATTTTCATATTTATATTATATATATATATATGTAACATAGACATATATTTATTATTTTTTATATTTAGAAAACAGGTTAAGACTGCTGATTTAACCATGCCCAGATCTTACTTTACTCCTTGAAATGATACACAAATCAGCCCACTTCAGATCAAATATGTTATGGAAACATTTATCCACTGAACATGCCCATATAATCATTTTAATAGGCATGGCATGGCATGGCAACCACTGATTTTATTTGAGAGCTATGTTCTAAGTGCACTCCACTCCTTTGTCATTTAGTATTTGATGAGCCAGATCTGAACAGCAGTACAATGTTTTGCCCTCTGATTATGAGGACATTTATGAAGCCATTAACTCCTTGTATTTGTATAGAACATTCCTGCCAAGTCATTTTAAGTGTTTCAAGGGGCAGCACCTACTTTATAAACCCAAGAAGTGGTTAGAAATAGCTCTTGCCATTGGTATCCCAGAAAACAAGGGGCAAAATGCCTTCTTTTGAATACTATGGTCTTCTCCAAAATCCATTTCTCTTGTCTGCATTCAACACAAACATGTGATGTGGTATTATTGTGGTCAATGGAGCCAGCAGTCATTTCCCATGATGTATTATGCTCTAGTAAACTTTCAGTTCAACTATGTACCCAGGGGATAATGCCTATTTTATTGCTTATTCTTCATCTGCAGCCTAGTAAGGTCTTGGAACATTTCACCCTGTGACCCCAGTGATTCTCTCTGCTGGGGGCTTGTAGTATAAGTTTACTTAATTGGAGTCTTAACCCTTGTTCACAGAGGCACTAAAAATATTTCCAGCTCTGTCTCCTATTCTGCTTTGGATTTGTGGTAACGTAGTTTTGCTGCTACAGTTGGAATGCCAAGAAACAGATTCTCTCTTCTATTCAGAATGTGGCAAAGGCAGATTTAAAACCTAAGGTGAAATTGATAGAGGTGTTTATGTGTATTAATCATATAGTTCTCTCTGGAACCCTCTTTCGGAGCAGCAGCTGATGGGAATGCCTCATGTCAAGCTTACTGAAGACTTTTCTTGCCCATTAACTTGACATCAAGATTCAGTCCTGGGCTTTGAATAAATACCAGGCATGCATGCTTTGTTTATAGCCAATTTATAATCATTATATATCCTTATGTAGTTGTCAGATTTTCCCAATGACTGTGGAACTCACTTACTAGAGAGGGTTAGAAGAAGGGGTATACTGGATCTAGCATGAAGTAGCTCATGG